GGGTGAAGATGGCAGCCCTTAGGGGCGATTGTGTGGGGTGGCGGCGGTGGGCTTGGAGGTGGGCGGAGGAGGGCACGGGTTTTATGGAGCAGAGAGGCTTAAGCCCCTTTGTCTGCGGAGGGCCGCACCACCTCAGCTTCACGTCAAACTCGGCCGTTTAACCCGCCAGTTTTATTGGCAAGGCCAGTCCGTAAAGGTCGGCGCCGCCCAGTGACGCCGGGAGGGCGGCGGCCGGGGCCGAGGCCGTGGCCGGGGCTGGGGCCCAGAGCAACCCCCCGTCCCGTCCCGTAATCTCCCTCGACCTGTGAGCCGAGATGCAGAGAGCAGGCGTTATTGCATAGTCCTTAAGAGTGGCGCAGGGCCATTCCAGGCGCAGCCACTCTGCACCAAAATAAAAAGAAAGCCCCTCACTCAGACACAGACACTCACAAACTACGTTAAGAAGACCAGCATCGGTCAGATCAAGACGAGGAAGGGAACTCACCTTCCGCTGGATCGGGCGGCTCCGCGCGCCGCCGTAACGGTAGGCAGGCCGGCTGGAGCGCGGCACGGACGTCGAACGGGTGGCCTAGGCTGGGCCGCCGCGGGCGCTCCCCACAGCGCGGCGCCCGGTGCTCCGGGCCCCGCAAGCCTGGAGATGCCGACAGTTTCCTGGACAACTCGTCAATTTGAAAAAAAAGGAAATACAAAAAAAGACTGTTTCGTAAATGTACATCTTTTTCTACTCTTACCAGGACGCTGTTAACTTTTCGTTGCAGCGCGATCCTGCAAAGTGGGACGAAGCTTGAGAAATCTTCTGGACGGCACAGCGCAAGTTTACGCCCCTCCCACTCTCTCTCTCTCTCTCTCTCTCTCTCTCTCTCTCTCTCTCTCTCACTCTCACTCTCGGGGGACACTACCGGGGGTGGCGTAGGGCGTAGGCGTACCGTCTCCTCGCCACATCCAAATCCCACGAGGACTTTAAATAATTCTCACCCCCTATACTGTATGGCCGTTGCGAATCAATACAGCACCTCGACCGCCAGCAGAGAGACGGAGATGGAGACAGCGAGAGAGACGGAGACGGAGACAGCGACAGAGACAGAGAGGTAAAAGAATTTCGGGGGCGAAGCCCAAGAGGAGCCAGCAGTGCGAGTAAGAAGGAGGACAAGGGGAGGAGGCGAAAAGAAAAAGATGAACCGAAAAGAGAGGCACGGCTCGAAGAAAATTTACAGCTTTGACCCTTCGGCCCAGCCCAGCCCCTCCTGAGGCCGGTAGAGCAAAAGAGTGAGAGTGCAGGCGTGCGAGAAGTAACAAACTAATGAGGGCAAAAGAAGGTAAAATAACGGGTGAGGGGGGAGCGACTAAGGGGTGAAATATACCGTACGCGGCGGCGGGGCGAGGCGCGTCAACCCATTACAAAATTAGCTGCAAGGGGAGCTCTCGCTCTCTTTCTCTTTCTCTCTCTCTCTCTCTCTCTCTCTCTCTCTCTCTCTCTCTCTCGCACACACACACACACACACACAGTGTGCGTTACTTGGAGCGGTATTAGAGAAACAAACTAAACAGCAGGAGATAAAGCTGGTTTTTGCGAATCTGAAAGCAAAAACAACAAGGACTCACCGCGGATTAGACGCCGAAAGCCTTCCGCATTATAATATGAGGGAGGGGGGGAGAGAGAGAGAGAGAGAGAGAGATTACCGCCGTGTAAAATGACGGGCATGTTTCAGAGTTTAGTTTTAGAATAATTACGGTCCGTGAGGCAAGAGGGTGTGAGCACGCGTGCGTGCGTGCGCTGCAGACACGCCAAGTCTTTCTCCTTTCTCTCTCCCTCTTTTCCTCTTTTTTTCTCATTTTTTTCTGTGTTAGCGTGCGGAGAACTCTTAATTCCCGGGTCGCCCGTAATTCACGGTTTTAATCGCGCACGCGGCCCTTGAAGTGTCTGTCGTTGGCCCGAAATCTAAATACGCCCCCCGGCTGGTTTGTGAACGAGCTAGCAGGGCCGCTGTAGACGAGGCTGGGCAGCGACAGGGGCAGCTGAGCTGGCCTCGCCCGAGGGGACCACGCGTGCCCCAACCCGTCATACTAGTAGTAACGTGACTTGCGGCGAAATTGTTAAAATCAAGTACAGTGCCCAATATATCGGTTTATTGTTTATTATCTTCTGTGATTCGCTCCATGGGATGACCTTCTTGCTGCCGTAAAATATAAAATAACAGACGCAGGGGATCAAAGTATTGTCACAAGAGGAGAGTAATCATCTAATACACAATGATATACATATATTCAATGAAATGCGTAATAATCCCCTTTAAAGGGCGACATTACAGTGGCGCATTTTAACTTATATTCAAAGGCTGAAAACGACGGGTAGTGAAAATAGAAGACGAGTTATACTTTTAATGTACACCAATCGAACACCACGCCGTCTCCACGATGAGGGTGGCAATATTCGTTGATGCACATGCACATACATGAATAGTGTATTTCGACCAACGGAGGAAGAAGAAGAGCGGATAGAACATAAACGTTCACGATTGGTCGAGAGATTCCCGCCCCTGCGTCACGCCGGTAGTGGGGGTAAAGGTTCGACCAATCAGGAGCCTTTATGGTCTACCCGCTCTTCTTCTCCCTCCGTTAATCAAAATACACTGTTAATCTCGTCAAACGATCAACGCGAAACAAAACTATAACTTATCAACACCAGGGTGCAGCGCCAAATGTCTGAGTGACTCGGTCACTCACGCACCACACGACAGTTGAGTGATCCCATTGTACCAAAGTCAATTCGTGGTAGTTGAAGAACAACAAGAAGAAAGGACGTGGGACTGGTGAGCTGGCGATGCGCGTTCGGCACTTTTCGCGGGAAAAGTCACAAAGGCAAAGCAGAGGGTCCGAGAGCAATGTAAATCCTGTCCGGGCATTTGTAAGACTGGAAAATAATTTACTTTGCTCTCAGACCCTTTACAGCCACGCGGGTCCACACAGAACGAATGTATCTCTCATCCTCAGTTCGTGGGATGTATCTGGTCCTGCCACTCGTCCTCGGGCATGTCGGCGCCGAGGTCGGCGCGCCCGTCGCCGTCCGGCACCTCCTCGTCGCCGAGGCGGGCCGGGGCGCCGTCGTCGCCGGGCGGCGCCGGGCTGTCGACGTCGTCGTCCTCGAAAGGATGCCGTCGCTCATTAGAGTCCGTCCTCTCGGCCGCGCGGTCCTCCAGCTTCGCGCGGCGGCGCCACTCCAGGAAGCTGTTGACCAGGGGGTCGCCCTTGGCGGGGTCCTTGGGCGACCCCGCGCCTCGCTACCTGTCGGGCCGCAGCCAGGGCACGCCGTGCGCGTACACGTACGGGAACGAGTCATTGACGGGGTGCTCACCCAGGTGCTCCTGTCCCCCGGACACCGGCGGCGGCGACATCGCCGGGCCCATGGGGGACAGGAGCAACCCTCACGTCCGCACGAACTTGTACACGACAAGGAACACGAGCACCGACACGAGCACCAGCACGAGGGCCGTCACCACCTTGGCGAAGGCGTTGAGCCCCGTGTCCGAGCCCTCCTGGGGACGGCGGCGCGAGGACGGCCGCTTGCCGGAGCCGCCCAGCCCGCGGCCGCGCGCCAGCGCGGGGAAGGCCAAGCTCTGCGTGAACGTCAGCTTGTGCAGCGACTCGGACCAGCTGCAACAACGGGATGCCGAGGTTGAGCAGCACGGCCACGGCGCGCGAGGGCGGCGGCGGGGAGGGGCATCGCGTCGACGGACTCACCTGCAAGGGCCGACGCTGCCCCGCGCGGCCGCGGCGCGCAGCGCGTAGTCCAGGTCGAGCGCGTCCAGCAGCGAGAAGCGCGCAGTCATGGTGGACGAGCGGCGGCGGTGGTCGCTGTCCGAGCCCGGCATGAGCCAAGGGTCCGAGGTGCGGCCGCCGCCCCGGCTGCGCCCGTGCCCGCCGCCCGACCGGTCCGTCGCGTTGCCCGTCGTCACCGAGTTGAGCGAGGACGCCGTCGACGACGAGTTGGACACGGCCATGGAGCAGTGGAAGGGGAAGTCCCCCGACAGGCTCACGTCGTCGTTGGACGCGTGCGTGTCCGTGGGGCTCATCGTCGGCGAGGTGCAGCGCAGCAGGCGGGTGCGCGCGTCCGCGAGCGACAGCCGGGCGTGGTCCGGGTGCAGCAGCGCCGAGCTCAGCGCCGAGCTCGACCTCCGGGGCCCCGTCGGGGAGGGCGACGGCGACGGCGACCTCGGCGGGGTGCGGGGGCAGCTGTGCGGGCTGGAGGGCGCCACGGGGCACGGCGTCGGGCTGGCCTGAAACAGATTAGAAAAAAAAGTCAAATCGCGGCCCGGACGCGTACAAGTTGCGACCCTCGCCAACTCAATCTCCAACTTGTTGAAGAGGGGGAGGGGGCGGAGAAGTTTTCGCGGACATCCTGACTGCCTGCCTTTCCGCAAGGGGGATTAGGGGTTGAAAAGGGCGGGGAAACGAGTCAAGGAGAGGCAGCTGGAGTTTGCGGCACGGGCGCGCGCGGCGCGGTCCGTCCGGGGGAGCATTTAAGACGAGGGAAACAATCTCCTTATTCGCTGAGCCGAGACTCCATTGCTTGCTTCCGCCAAAATCAATGTCTACTGTAACTTGGGAACCATCACCTGGAGGTTAGGGAGGGGGGGGGG